AATACGGTTGATTCCCATTCAACTTTATTTGACATAAAATGCCTTACATAAATTTCCTTCTTTCTTGACAAGACAGAAGCTTATTACTTATGACCATAGTTCAGTATTTTTTCTACCATTTTTGGTTGATGTATATTGCAGTCATTTGGGAGAGGCTCTAATGTTCTGAAATCTGTTGAAAGCATTGGATGCTTATACACATGCTCCAACAAATTAGGATGTGTTGAAACAGACACAATTAATTGAGTCAGTTCTGCATTCTAATTAGAACACTAAAGCTGATTGAATGAGTTTTAGTTAAAGCATCCCATAGTCATTTTTAAACTAGTAAACTACTGGTTTAAATGCACGGGGACATTTAATACATGTGAAGCTGTGGTGTTTTAATTAGAGCGGCTCTCCAAGAACCAGTCTAATTAAACACACCCTCCCCACCCCTAAACGTATGTATAGGCAACCATTCTTATTACAGTACATTTGAAGGTGCTCCAGATGCTTAACCAAAAAAGCTTATTGGAACTTCTACCATATCACCCCCACTGATACCTGAGAAAGTTCTTGGCAGATGGATTTCAATCTAAGGACAATCTTCAACAGATACAGCTTCCATTAAAAGGTCAATATGGTAACAACAGATCTAGTTTACCTACTTCATCAGAAGATAATGATTGTAGCCAGTTTGGAAAGGACTTTGAGAGTCAATGGGAATCCAAAACAGCAAAAAAAAAGTTTGAATTGGTGTAGATAAATGGCATGTCCTCTTTAGATCTACGTAGCATAAACTATCATTGTGATCTACTGCCAGGATTCCTGATTCTCCATCTGACAATCTAGATATACTGAGATGAATACAGGAGTAATAATTAGTAGGAAATGTATTCTTTTCATATTATCATATTATTATTTTCTATTATCATCTGGAATAACTTCAAAAGGAGTGTCATTCTCTGATAATAACTAAGCCCAGGCACAAGCTGTTATTATAAATGTTAGACTGGTGGGTATTATACTAGCCTGCCTGTCCATCTCATCTACCTGATTTTTTTTTTAATCTTTTGTATTGTAAGGCTCTCAGGATTACACCCTTTCATTTACTAATATTATGTGGCTTGTAGCATCCAGTGGCCCACTTAGGCCATTATGCACTAATACAATTACTAGAATTATTATTGTGTTGACCCAGGAAGAACAAATCCCAGATTTACCACACATTTATCCTAGCAAACTTGTATTTTTTCAAAAGATTGGAGCACAGAGTAAAAGGTGCAAGTGTTGGTACTCTTGTAAACTGCATTTTTAAATTTTAAAGTGCATCATTCCCACAATCCCAAAAATGTAGATGAAAAGCAAATTCAATTCTAACAGAACAAGAAATATGCAGCATTATTTTCTATCCTGCTATATAATATCAGTTTAATTTTTAAGTTGAAGAAATTAACTATGGCAATATTAAACATGTTATTTAATTGCTGCACTAATTACTACAGTAATACATTTGGCATTGGGGCTACGTACAGACAGTCAAAAAGCCCAAGGTTGAATCAGTTCAATCTTTGCAGGTTAGTCTAGGCTATATAAATTGAACCAATAAGGAAGTGAACAGACATTCACTTTTGATTCCAGAAATGCAGCCACATGCCTGCAGTGGCCCAAGGCCGAAGCCAGGAGGTGCTACATTATACCTCCTTGAATGGCTGGAGCAGAGAGCTTGGCCCAAGGTTAACCTATCCACCCTGTGAGGGGAAATTTATTGGGGGGGAGGGGTGCAAAGCATCCCGGGATGCTGGGGTAAGTAAACTTGAATATGGAGGGAATCTGGAACAAATATTTTAATAAAATGATTTAACATAAATCAGTTAAATCTGATACTACATACATTCAGGTTTATCTTAAACCAGTTTTGAATACTTTGAAAGTGGTTTGTGTGCACTGAACTTCTGTGGTATTACAGATCTGAACCAGTTTCTGACCACTTATATCAGTTTGTGTGTTATTTCTGTCCCTAGACTGTATGTGTAGCAAAGGAGCATACAAGTTTCTACAAAATTCTTTCCTGAGCTCTGTAAATGATGTCATTATTCAGCAAAATACCTGTCAACATAAACGAACACTCAGAAACACCAAGAGGAATCAAATATATATTGTTTTCAAGGATACATTTTTCATTTGGACAGAATTAATGGCAAAAGAATTCAAATTGCTGTGCTGACTCAAATAGAGGCAGCTTTCTTTTCCAAAAGTAATCATAGGAAATCATACTACATTATACAACTTCACTGCAACCTACGTGACCCTATGGTTCTTACATTTTTCAGAACTAACTAGGTAATAACATGGCTGCTGAAAGTGCCTATTGTAAAAATTCCTGAACTTATCTGTTCCTCAAACTGAGTAAATTTAACAAGGTCATAGACCCTGACATAGATTTTGGAGCAAAAGCCTTTCTGAGATACTAACAATTATGCAGGGTAGCTGTTATTGTCTTAATTAAATCAGCTCATAAAAGAATATTACAATGTATTACGGTGTAATGTTTCTCTTCTTCCTTCCCTTTCAATGAGCTAGATGAAAATCATCATGCAGCATTTTCTCATAAAAAAATATCAAATGATGCCTGTTTTCCTCTACTCAAACCAGCTAAACCCATACAAAGCTATGACTGCCAAGAATATCTTTTATGTCTTATATTTAATACAGTACTGTTTGTACTTTTAAATAAATTATATTTATTAATGTTTGAAATTCAAATAGAGTACAAAAAGGAACTAGCTACTTTTTAACATCAGTTTGGTATTTGATTATTATTCAACAGTTGAACATGAACACAGCATTTTTGTCAGCTAGGCTGACATACAGAAGAAAGGCACCACTTGACAGATCCTAATGAAACTGGAAAAGGTAGATGACCAAGATACGAGCAAGACATTTTTCACAGCAAGCACAGGCATATTAGAATAATTTTCAGAACAAACTGTAATGTTGACAGACCTGTGGAGGGAACTGCCTCCTTTTTTGGTCAGGGGACATGACATAAGCAGCTTGCGTATATGCATAGCTTTTGAAGCGAGGCTTAGAAGGAGAAGGGGTGTGCACATGACCCTGAGTTACACTGACTGTGATCTATGAAGAAGAAATCAAGGGGAAAAAAGCAAACATAACATAGATAAGCCCATGGAATATGTAAGTAACATTCTTTTTAAGAACAAAAGAAAAGCAGCAAGGGTGGGCACCATCAGATCAACTTAATTTTCTAGAAACAGTACTGGTATTCAACAGTTACCCCAAAATTAGACAGAAAGTGGTGAATGCTTTAATTGAATCTGATGTCCTGTCACAGTAGAAAGAAAGTATCTTCTTTAAATTGCTAGGATTTAGCGCTGGCATAATGTCAATACTGAGCGAAGTGTCTCCCTCTACATAATTCAGCAAAGACCGAAAACAAAAGAATTTAGTAGCCACTCCTGAATGAATGGAGCCATTTATTCATCTGGTTGACAGTCCTGAAAAGGCCCAAGTCTCCCATAAGAAGAACAGCGTTAAGTCAGTAGAGTGAGTAAATTAGGCCTAAGGGTCTCTAGCCCTGGCAGAGTGTGGCAGATGCAGAAGCATCACTGATGTAGCAGGCACACAAAAAAATGCTCCTGTGTAATTTTGCTGCTCTTGAGGGACAAACTCTGAGTGAGGAGAGTTAAACTAAAAATATTGGCAAATGGAAACATACAATGAATAAGCAGGAGAAACAAGAGCTATCCAACAAAACAAGAAAGCTTCCATGCATCTATGTTATTTCTTTTTTAATTTGAAGAAAACACACTCTAAATCAGTGTATTAGAAGGACACCATAGTTTAAATGAACAAATGAATGTTTTTTAATAAAAATGTCAATGTCTCTCCTTTTATGCTGTTCCTTAAAAAAAAGAGACATGCTTGTTAGGATGAAATGTTTGACTAGACTAAAAGTACACAGCTACTACTTGCTGAATTGTTTCTTTGAAAACAGCTCAATACACCATACATAGCAATATACAATAGAGTTCCTGTAGACACCTATATTGGATGTCCGTTCAAATGGCCTGTTCATTGTCTCCTTTTATTTGGCTACCTAAAATAGTATCTTAGAGCACAAAAATTAATGAACACATTTGACTGCAGAAAAGTGAAAAAAAACTCACTTGTTGAGAGAAGTGTTGTTGATGATGTATATGCTCTTCTCTAGTGACCTTTGATTGCCGGGGCAATGTTTCCACCTCTCTGATGGCTTCAATGGTGACTTGTTGGGGTAGAACTTGGAAGAGTGATGTAACATACATTAAGATTGACTTCTTATCTGGATAGGCAGTTGCAATATCTGGAAAATACATTAACATATATCATTTCTATTTCTATATTAGAGAACATGCAAGGAAAAAAAAAGACTTTGCAGGAAGTTAATAGACTAATGAACAGTTGATTGACCACATGAATTCTCCAGAGACTAATTAGAACATTATAATCAGCTCCAAAGTTCCCTACCACACTTGCATACCAATGAGAAGAGCCAAAGTTTAAAATGGTAATTGTTTTCTCATTCACATAAATCTCTCTCTTGTCATTTGTCTTCAGTGAAAATGCAAGTACTGTGCATTTTGACTTGAGTGACCTTAATTAAGTAGGGCAGTGAACAAAACCAGATAAATGAAAAAGGTACCTTTCCTTTTGTTCCATGTAAATGTTGCAGCAAAAACAGGCAACCTTGGTTAAACATTATGAACTATTTTAGTGTCCTTTAGTTCAGTAGGAGAAAAAAAAAAGATTCACACATTTTGAATCATAGATTTACCTGATGATTATGAAAACGCAAAAAGTGTGTACAAGATATTTGTATTTTCTGAACCCTAAAAGGGATACCAAGTTTTACATAAACTAGGTTGCATGATATCCATGAAAGACACAGAGTTTATGGGTATTACAGTATGTGACATTATAGGTCTAGTAAAATAACATATTTTTTCTACTTGGACAATATCAGCAAGTGCAAATGTCTTTGTATGAACACAAAGCAGGTATGACTTTCTGTGCATAGCTATGATATACTAGCAGGAAAACGGGTTGATCTAACTCAACATTCCAAGTCAATAACAATTTGTAAAAATGTAAGTTATGTGACAGCCCTTTCAAGTAGTTTCTTTGGTACTTGGCATTAAAATTTACCTCCCGCACTCAGCCAAGTGAATCAAGATGTAAAAAGACTTGTATAAAAAATGTATCATTAATCTCATAAGTGCTTAAACATAAGCACTGGCAGAAAGCCAAGAGCTATCCATAGCAATGAGGGTTTGTCATAAATCTATCCTGACTTAGCTAAGACCTTAGAACAGGACACAATATATATATTTAGCAATTCTGATCACAGATGCAATAAGAGTACAAGGTGGTACGTAATTCTCCCTTCTGAGAACTTGAAATGCACAAGGCACAGACATCCATGCATTAATTCTCCATGCACACTTGAAAACTAGGCAAAGGGCATCTGGAGCAACATGCCCAATCATATATTTAGTTTATCTTGATCCCACCTTTCTGAGTTGTCCACTCTTGATCCACTGGTTTGCCTAGAATCTAAGTGTTTATTAAACTGATGTGCTGAATACTTTCTTTTAATTGTCTTTGCCTACTAAATTATTCCATGTACTCATTATCATTTGATTTACATTGTCCAAAGTATCTGACAAATCCTTGTTTGAAAAAGTATTATGTGAAATACCTTCTACATATTTAATTATATTGGAGTTTGAAGTTCAGTTGTCCTATGTAAAAGTGACTAGAAAATGGAACTGCAGAGGATCATATTGTTTGTCTTAGTGATTCTAAGATTAAGTATATTCATTTAAAAATATAAATGATTTTTTTTTCTAATGCCAAGCCACACCGCACTGACTGCTTTTTAAAAATAAGTGTGCTCTTTGAGTTCTGAACAGCAGTTTGGCTTCACTTTATTCATTTGTTTTTATTCACTATTTATGAATATTTGAGCAAACAAGATTTTGTTTGCCTGAGTGTCTGGTAACGACTGAGTTTCATAGGAATACCCACTTTCCCATTAGAACAAAGATATACAAGGATGACTGAGACCGTTCATTATTGCTATTTGCTTTCTTCCATTTGCTATTCATTATGTGCCTGTAAGAAAAGTTCTTCATCTAATCAGGGAAGTAAATTTCATAGATTTCATAGACATCAGGGCTGGAAGGGACCTCGGAAGATCATCGAGTCCAGCCCCCCGCCCAAAGGGCAGGAAGTCAGCTGGGGTCATAGGATCCCAGCAAGATAAGCATCCAGTTTCATCTTGAAGGTGTTCAATGAAGGCGCTTGAACCACCTCCGGTGGCAGGCTGTTCCAGACCTTGGGGCTCGGACAGTAAAGAAATTCTTCCTTATGTCCAGCCTGAAATGATCTTGAAGTAGTTTGTGACCATTCGACCTCGTCATCCCTTGGGGCGCTCTGGTGAACAAACGTTCCCCCAGATGCTGGTGGTCACCCCTGATAAACTTGTAGGTGGCCATCAGATCACCCCTGAGCCTGCGCTTTTTCAGGCTAAAGAGCCCCAGGGCTCTCAGCCTGTCATCGTAGGGTCTGTTTCCCTGACCTCTGATCAAGCGCGTGGCTCTTCTCAGCACTCTCTCAAGCTTCTCCACATCCTTTTTGAATTGTGGAGCCCAAAACTGGACACAGTACTCCAGCTGCGGCCTCACTAAGGCCGAGTACAGGGGGAGAATGACGTCCCGGGATTTGCTTGAGAAGCATCTATGGATGCAAGTTTTTCTTCTGTATTGACTTCAGCAGTTTCAGCTTCTGCCTTTCATTTCAGAACAGTACCTTTTAGCAATAAATACCAATCCATTTTCATCCTGTAATAGCATGAAAAATATTGAACTCACCAGCAGAATAAGCTGTACTGCACAAATGTTTCTTGCTAAGTGGGTACTTTACATAGGTTTTTCACCAGTTCCAAGGGACGCCCCTGCCCATTATGGGACAGGAAGGCCTGGGTGAGGGAGATTCCTTACCCTCCATTAATGCTGACCTCAGGAAGGAACATCTTGAGAGGCTGGACACCTTCAAGTCATTCGACCCTGACAGTTTACACCCCAGGGTACTCAAGGAGCTGGCAAGCATCATAGCTCAGCCCCTGGCACGGATCTTTGAGAACTCCTGGTGCTCTGGTGAAGTGCCCGAAAATTAGAAGGAGGCCAATGTGGTGCCTATCTTCAAGAAAGGGAGAAAAATGGATCCGGCAAACTACAGGCCCATCAGCCTGACCTCTATCACAGGGAAGGTCTTAGAAAAGGTTATCAAAGAGACCATTCTTAACAGACTGGCCAATGGCCGCATCCTGAGGGATAGCCAGCATGGGTTTGTTGCGGGTAGGTCTTGCTTGACCAATCTCATTTCCTTCTACGACCAAGTGACCTATCACCTGGACAAGGGAGAAGAGATTGATGTCATATATCTTGACTTCAAAAAAGCCTTCGATCTGGTGTCCCATGATCGCCTCTTGGAGAAACTGGCCAATTGTAGCCTTGGGTCCTCCACGATCCACTGGCTGGAAAATTGGCTCCGGGGTCGGACCCAGAGGGTAGTAATCGATGGAAGTCACTCATCGTGGTGTCCTGTGACCAGTGGGGTCCCCCAAGGCTCTGTCCTTGGACCCATACTGTTCAACATCTTCATTAATGATGTGGACACTGGAGTCAGAAGCGATCAGAACTGGCCAAGTTCGCCGATGACACCAACCTCTGGGGCAAAGCATCCACACCAGAAGACAGGCAGGTTATCCAGGCTGACCTGGACAGGCTCAGCAAGTGGGCGGACGAGAATCTGATGATGTTCAACGCCGATAAATGCAAGGTTCTCCACCTTGGGAAAAAAAACCCGCAGCATCCTTATAGGCTCGGCAGTGCTATGTTGGCTAGCACTATGGAAGAAAGAGACTTGGGGGTCATCATTGACCACAAGATGAACATGAGCCTGCAATGCGATGCGGCGGCTAGTAAAGCGACCAAAACGCTGGGAGCCAGGGGGGCAGCTGTGCCCTCTTGCTGCCTTTCCTCCGAGATGGAATAGGCTTAGTTTGTGCATTGAGGATCGCTCCCTTGAGGAGCAACCACTCCTCTTGAACTCCCCTCTCCCTGTGGTCACGGTCCCTTAGGGCCTCACTGACAAGCCTCCTGAGATGGAAGTCAAACCTGTAGCAATGTTGGTTACTTCATCAATATTATCCTTCATCATTTACTTTCAAACCTAAAGACCTGCCATAGGCTGTATCTTGACTCCTTGGGCACCAGTGCTTGAAGTGAATAATGTAATGCTTCACACTGGGTGAGGAGGCAATATTGTATTTTTACATTATCAGGGTGCATCAAGAAAAAGGTACCATGGCCTGGTTACTAAAGCCATTGATGTGAGGCAGGCCCTTTCCCCAAAAGACCTAAATACCATTCAGATACAGGTCTTATAAGCAGAACCAGGGACACAAGAAATAATCGGCAAAAATCTGTAAATATTTAAACTGTCTCCAGTACTTATTTTCCACTCTGTTGTGGCTGTTTGTGCTTTGTGCAATTTAAAAATGCAATTGTATGAATTCAAACAAGCTCTGGGAGCCTGCTAATGGCAAAGCAGGGCCAGCAGCATACGTGTAGTTTTCCTTAACATAGAGAGCTACAATATAATATTATATATTATATATATAAGAAATATAATACCACATAACTAAACACATGACAAATAACAAATGGTGAAAGAGAACAATTTGTGAACAGCTGAAAACTGTCCATTTTATTAAACCAACACGGAGATAAACAATACAAATGTAGATATCAGGATCAACTGGTAAATAGAAAAAAAGCTGACATTTTGATTAATTTAGACATAAAAGTCTCTCTATTATCACCCTGAAAATTCTGCTTGCATTTGATAGTTATTTTTTTTATTCACTTGCCATTTATCACAAAAATCAAAATTCCCTAGAAACACACTATTTTGTTAACCTTTACTATCTCAAAGGGCTTCAAATGTTGCCTTTTTAGACACTTGTGCAAATCTTTTCTGTTCAGCATCTGCTTGGCTAATGGAACCTAGATGAATCAACAGAAATATAGGCAGCAATGGTACACATTCTTCTCGAAGACAAACAACAACAACAACAACAACAATCTACCAATTTCATGACAGCTCTCAGTTTGGAGAGGAATAATTCTACAATTATCTGTGCTCCATTTAAAAACTAATCCTAAGAAGTACTTCTGGAGAATGAGAATATTAAGAAGGCTAACTCAAAGATTCTGGACCTATCCATTCTTGAATTAA